GAAGTTCAATTCACCTACATTCATGACTACAGCTACCAATTGTCCATAGAAATTAATTTTCTATAGAATGATTTAAAGTCAATAAGTACATGAAAAGAAAAATACATAACATAGCTACACACTTATATATAGTACAGGAAAATACTTTCAACATATTGATCTTCCATAAATATATTAGGCGCCCATTTATCTTCTGATAATGCAAGATTAGTACTTGCTACGATATCTTATGCTGGTTTAACTACATCTCTGGCACCATTTATCTTCGCCATTTTGTTGCTCTTAATTTAAAAGAAAGAACTGCTCATCATCGATAAGTAATTATTAAATTTGATTTATGTTCTTGTTTAGCTTATTTAGAATGATTATTGTGATTATTCAACACGTCTTGCATGTTGTAATAACCAACGAGTATAAAAAAATGCTACGACACCGTCTCTATTCTTAACGATTACTCAAATCGTAAATGTTTGCACTTGTAAAATCGCACTTTGCAAGGGCACCCGATTTCTTTCGATGAAAATGACGCGATGCATTATTTTTCAGGCGATGGTGGCTTGTTATCCTGGCCACGGCTCGCACTACGTAAAACATGTGGATAATCCAAATCGAGATGGACGATGCATCACAGCCATATATTATCTTAATCGAGATTGGGATATCAAGGTAAGAATCAGTTTAATCATTTCGTCTCTATGCTTTACTAGTTCTTAGATCAATGTTTCTTCAAATTTGCAAAGAAAATTTGTACCTCTCAAAATACATAAAACTCGGAAGATGAAATTTTTATTAGTAAAATTCCATTCACTTCACAGTCGAATCATTGTAAAGAGGAATATATTTTATTCATCAGGCTGACACTGGCTCTCATAGTTGCCTTGTTAAGTCTTGTTCACCCTGCACGTGCGACCGTGATTGTTTGAATTTTAAAAGTAAAGACACTCTGGAAAAGGGTAGGCAATGGAGTACGAAGGGCATCGGGGGCCTACGTGAGTTGCTCCATGTAACGCTTCCGTCTCGCACATGCACGTGAATCTCATATTGAGCAATATTTATGTTGCCCTACTCGAAAAATAAGGGCTGTTTAAATACACACGCTGTCTTAGAAAATATAAAAGCACCGGATGTGTGGGAATATCTCGTATTAAAACGTGAGCCTGTTGCCTTCAACTCTAATGAATGAATACATCCTTCAAGGACATCACGAAAGAGAAACTTGATGAACTTGTGTAAAATTCTTATGTTTATTGGCCTCTTTACGAACAAGTTTTGAGTCCGGAATTTTAGTATCTTTAAATGTGTACGAGTTTTGCTTTAACGAAAGAATTATAAAAGATAATGAACTTGAAGAATCGAGAAACTTATAAGAATGTAATATCTTTAAAAAATAATTTTTAACAATGAATATATGTTCCTAGATTTGTTTTGTTCCATTCACACTTCTGTAAGTTTAGTCGTTATTTTTTTTCTATTTTTTATCAATTTTATATGAATATTAATGAATATTAATATGTACAATTGATAATAAATAAATGAATAATTCTCAAGATATATATTTTTTAATTTATTCATTTAGTATTATTATTTCAAGCAATGGTTTCTCATCGCTTATAATAATTTTACAATTTCTGCGTTTATAGCAAAATGGTGGCCTCTTGAGGATATTCCCAGAAGGCTGGCGTGATCAAGTAGCAGATATTGAACCTCTCTTCGACAGAATACTGTTCTTCTGGTCTGACAGGAGAAATCCACATGAGGTCCAGCCAGCATATAAAACGAGATATGCAATCACTCTATGGTACTTCGACGCGGAAGAAAGAAATCAAGCTTGCCGAAGATATCAGAGAGAAAGTAGGTACATTAATTGTAATTAAGGCGTTCATTTTCAATGTATTCATTTTGAAGCATATGTATTTCAAACAATAATAGATTTTACATTTTACTCTAAAAAGATAATAATAATAATACACATATATATGTCTAATTAAAGAAAGGTATATTTTGTATGAAAGGATAATTAAATTAGATAAGACGTAAAAAATCTTTTCTGTGTAATTTTTATAATCTTATGTGTACGTATCTATAAATATAACTTTTCAAAACATAATATGTTATTAAAATTTTATTTCCCAATTTGCTGTTTTCAATTATTTTATATCATTATTGAACAATAAATTATCTGCATAGTTTTGGAGAAACAGTTTCCGGCGGAGCTATTTTAGACTACAAATTTGATTTAACTATTTATTTTTCAGGAGAATTATACGCAAAGAAAGAAAGTTCGTGAGACATGGAGTCTGAAGGACCGTTACACCGTCCGTCGACTGAAATTGTAACTTTATTAGCTAAACTTATACACTTGTACATAGTTACACGAAAAAAAGCATTGGTATATAAACTATTATGTATTATTCTGTATTATGATATAGTTGAGATTGTAGAAGATATCAAGATTTAAGGATGTGCAATAGACATAAGCGCGTTCTTCTTTTTTTTATATATAGCGGCATTGTAATATATTTCGACGAGTAAGTGTGCGCAGCCCTTACAGTTTAATTAATTATTAATCTCTGTTTTTTCTAACACTAATGCTCACATTTTAATCGAACATTTAAAAGATAAAAATTTAGCATTCGCTTACCACGATTAAAAGTTCGTTACATCGATACGATACTTAGCTTCCGAATATTTGGAATACTAAAAAACATTTCTACTGCATTCGTAATTCGTATACGATTGCTAAAATTATAGTGTACAGAGAGAACGAAAAAAATATGTGTGCGTATATAGGATGAAAGTGAAAGTTTGTATGTGCTAGAGAAAAAATCAATTTGAATAATAAAAATTAATGTTTCTATATACATATATATGTATATATGAGTGTGTGTATATATAATTGTATGTACATCGCATATATATGTGTGTGTGTGTGTGTGTATGTATGTATCATAAACTTTGCTAAATAAAAATTGTGTCTTAATTATTATATTTACATAACTACATATGTTCCCTTTAACTTCTGTACAGCTGGTATTGTTAGTAGCAGTTCAGCTTGTTATTAATATAAAATTGTAATGCGACTGTACTATCGCGTTTTATTATTGCATCATATGTTATACGTTATTCTATAAACGGTTACGATCCTTATACCGATGTTTGATTAAACGGCCAGTAATTAACTTATGCTTCCAGCGCAGTGAATTAAGATATGCCGGGGCCCAGTCTGTACCTGTAATATTGTTATGTACATTGTGAAGAGGTAGAAACACATGTGTTTAATATTGTATGTATCTATTTATATAAATCGATAAGAAAAAAATGAAAAAAAAAAAAAATTAAATAAATGCGTACTTCCTGTGTCCCACATAGAAAGTCTGACATACAATTTTGTTAAACCTGAGATAGAAAGAGAGTGTTAAATTTCTCTGAGGTATATTGTGTTGATAATATTAAACACATTTGATCGTAAAAACATCATTAATAGTTATTCTTTAATTTTTTTAGTTACATTACTAGAATGAAAACTATGAAAAATTATCCAATATCTCTAACGAATGATTAAATTATTTTCAATGACTAAACGTAATTTAATATTCTCTTATTTTAATGAAGATTGTTTAGGACAAAGTTACGAACTGAAAGCGTATTTTTTTCAAAGTATTGTAAATTTGATGAGAATTGCGATGTGAAAATAAATACTGTACAAAATGCAATTGTTCATAGAAGGGTGATAGAGTAAATTATTATTATTACATTTACTTGTTAATATTTTGTTTATTTTCAAAAATTAAAAACAATTTATAATTAAACATTATCCATATCTTTGGGAATAGCACAATGTTCGATTAAATTTAGTGCTGGAACGTATACTTTGAACGAATGATCGTTATTCGAAAATGATCCTGGATTGATCACATGACAATTAGAATAGACAGTTTCATATGCTTCAAATCTGTCTGCAGTTACAATAAGATCCGGAGTAGGATATATTTGTAGTGAATGATTATATTTCCAATATATTGGTAACATTGGAAGACTTAAAGGAGTCAAATGAGATTGACAGATAATTGATTTAGCGTACTGAAACATTTATCAAAAATAATTATTAAATAAAATATATAAACAATCTGTAATATAATAAAGCTTACATGATCGTAAATATTGCCTTGAAATGGAAAGTGAAGTGTATTCCTACACATTTTCGTTAGAATATCTCCCCTTAATACCACAATTTCTTTCGTACAATACTGAATTCTACATGGATTAGTAGCAAATATTGCTCCAGGTATATTATTTCTAAAATCTTCAGTAAGGTTGTTTGGAAGTGGTAATCTTGGCAGAATTTTTGGTGATCCAATATCATTTATGGCAGGTACAAAAATAAATTTAGAATCTTGTTTTATATTTGGATATTGCATTATTATATCAGCAAGATTTTTAAGTCCCTCTATTAATTTCTGTCCGCTCGATGATTTTGCAGGAAAACTTAAGAAATGTCCACATAATACAAAAGCTATAGGTGGATATTCAGAATATCCTTCCAACATAATTTTAAATTTACGTAAAACAGTTTTATCATCTAACCACATTTCAGATACAAAAACAATCATTCCATCTTTGTTACTTTCTTCATAAGTTTTTAATTTTTCCGAAAGTTTTAAAGAAAACTCACTTGGACCACCAAATGCATTAGAATTACCAAAATCTACACGTGCATTGTTAGATGATTCTGCTGGTGGAAAACCTAAATTTTTCACATATAAAACACCATCATGAAAATCTCCATTAGCTATTACGATAGAACATTCCATGATCAAACCATCCTGAAAATTGTGTATGAATATTAAGGAAAATATTTGTTTAGATAACAGTATTCTACATTTGAAAATAATGTGTATAATTATTATTTTTGAAGTTTCAAAAAGGATATTGCTTCTCGCAAATCAACTTTTATTGAACCTCCTGTGTCTTCCAGATAATATTGTCCCTCTACTAATTGAGAGAGAAGACCCATAACATATACATTTCCTCCTTTACTTTCACTCAACAGATATTCAATTGGTACCAATTCAATCCAATTTTCTTTTCTTTCACCAAGCATCGGAGGAATGAATAATTCATGTCTCAAAGTTCTGTACCAAAGCAACTCAAATCTATCTTTAAAAATTGTAGATTTATATTGTGCTTCAGCATATAAATCTGGTGTTATAGATTCCAAAACAAATTTTTTCTTAGACAAGTCATATTTAATTCTAGGAACATCAAATACATCTATGACATTTAATACTGTTTCTGCATTCTTTAATGTATTGGGTTTTATACACTCTTGTATTGCTAGTTGCAAATTTTCAATAGTTACGTGCGTATCACTTAAATCTTGAGATAAAACTTGTTCTGCTATTTGTGTCAACCATATTTCACGTTCATTTTCTTCTACGTTTAGAAGTTCCTTTGCAAGTGAAACACTGAGTTTCCTAGATAATAATAAAATTTTTTTGTACAGTATATTAGCGTACAATATGTTAGAAAAAATAGAAAAAAATCAATTATATAAAAAGTGTGTTAGAAATGTACACACCTTGAAATTACAAGTCCGTATAATGAAAAGGTATTTCGTACCACGTTTACCAATTTTTCATCAGCCATTATTACAGAGATATATTATATTTATATACATATTTATAAGTTTCTTTAATATTCCTTCTTGATTCAAAATGTTAATAACGTACATTAATAATATGTATTACAATTTCATAGTCTCACATTTTTCACATTCTACATTGTTATTTACACATAGAGAACACTATTGCAAGACTTTCCCGCCTTTTTGAAACATGTACATATATATATATATATATATATATATATATATATA